ACACTATATAAATATATAAACAAACACCTCGAAATTCCTATGAAAATATTAACCGGCACGTGGCAAATTTCGAGGATCGTTTTCTAGCTCAATTTAATTTAATATATTTCAAAGGTAATTCGATAACCTTAAGAAACTTAAAAATCTCGTTTTGATTTTTTTTATCTTTTGGGTTTCTGTGAACTTTGTCATGCACTTATAAATTTCTGCGAAACCTCAACTAAACCCAAAGCGATTACCTAGGCAATGCGAGAGCAATGGGGCACTTTGAAGCTATTGTTGCTGCTGCCCCTTTGTATCACGTTGGCGGCTTTTGTGGTGACATTGATTTGGCATTAGAGACGCGAGTCAGGGCATGAAAACAGGTGGGAAATTAAGTGAATTTCCATTAAGATGAAATATTTGCAATGCATTTAATTATTAAGTTCGCATTCGAGAGACCATTAATATTCATTTAAGGAAAGCGCCAATTGAGTCGACACTTAAAACCGCAATAACAACAACAGTTAGGGAAGCCATAACGGGAAAACAATAACAAATGGCAAGCAAACAAATAAAACACACACACATTCACACGCACACACAGGCACACACTGGCACAATAATAATAATAATAATGGCAAGCTGCAGAGGCGCATTAAACATATGTGTGGGCTTAGTGTGCGAGAGAGAGAGAGGGAGAGGGCTAGAACTCGCTGTCGGTGTGAGTCCAAGTGTAGCAAATAAAATAAAACGATTTGAGACGCACAGCGCAAATGTAAATACAAAAAACCGCAAGGTGTAAAGCAGACTGTGAAAAGAAGTTCGTCGAGTGGAAAGAGTGGAGGGAGTGGGAGCGTGAGAGGCTGAGGCTGTTGTAACGGTAGAGAAGATAGGTAGTGTGAGCGGGAGAGGGAGAGGGAGAGCAGCAGAAACAGAAACAGAAACAGAAGCCGATGAGGAGTTGCTAATCGTAAATTGCTTTAAGCAGCAGGCAAGCGTACAGCAGCCAGAGCAGTGAGGGAGAGAGACAGAGAAAAGTAGGCAGCTTAATCTAGAACACACACACATATACACTCACGCATACACGGAGGCACAGTCATTCATCTGGAGTCGCATTAACGACATAAAAATTGGCACTCAATAAGCGTGAGGGCACTTTTGGAAAGAAGAAAATACACAGACACAGAGAGACACACACACATACACATATATACATAGAGTTCACACACACACACTTGTCTCTAACGTGTGCCAGAGTTTAGGCACGTAGTCCCGTTAGCTCGCCTGCTGACGACATCGTCGAACGGCATCCCCAACGCCTGTCGCCAAGACAACGCCCAGCCGCTGCCGCTGCCTCTGCCGCTACCGCTGCCTCTGCCGCTGACTCTGTCTCTGCCTCTACCGTCGCCGCCTCTGACAGCTGGCTATGAATTTTAAATATATCTCTATAAATACCTATGAAGAGACACAAATAAATACATTACGTTCGGCACGTCACTCCACTGGAATTATTGAGATTGGACAAACACTTAACGGTATTCGAATATTACATTGCCCGCCCCAT